TGTGATTTGAGCATAGAAGAATTATTAAAAGAAGAAAATCAAAGATTAGACATGGAACTATGCGATAGAAACATGGAAATTTATCTTTTGCGACAAGAAAATAAAAAACTTAAAAAAAGGGATTTATCTTTCAGTATTAAAAACTTTAAAGAAAACAATACTCATTTAAATTTTTTTACAGGGCTACCAAATATGGCAATATTTCTATGGATTCTTTCTTTATTGACAAGGACAGATGGTGTAAAAATTTGTTCATCTCGTTTATCAAAAGAAAACCATTAGTTAATAATACTTATGAAGTTGCGACTTGGGCTCCTAAATAAAGATATTGCTTTTCTTTTTAGTGTCTGTGAAAGTATAATATCCACAGTTTTAAGAAATTGGCAGCCAAACCTAGCAACTTGCTTACAACCATTAATAAAATGGCCTAATAAATGTGTAATAAGAAGTAACCTGCCAGAGTGTTTTAAAAAAAAGTTTAGAGACTGTGTGTGTATTATTGACTGCTATGAGATTTTTATTGAGAGACCATCAAATCTAATAACTCGAGCTCAATCATGGTCAAATTACAAACTCAACAATACATTAAATATTTAATAGGAATCAGTCCAACAGGTGCAATTACTTTCTTGTCGGGTGGTTGGGGAGGCAGAGTTTCAGACAAAGAGCTAACAAATCAATCGGGCTTTCTCAAATATATAAATTTTGGAAATTGCATTTTAGCAGATAGGGGATTCCTAATTAAAGATGAGCTTGCAGAGAAAGGAGCAAACCTTTACATTCCAGCATTTTTAAAAGGAAAACAACAGTTAAGTCCGCAAGAGGTTGGAACTTCAAGACAACTGTCAAATGTAAGAAAACACGTTAGACGCTTTGAGTCAAACAATTTAGAATTTACAAACCACTGTTCCAATAAAACAAATAGATCTTTTAGATGATATGATGGTCGTGATATCAGCCCTTGTTAATTTAAAGAAAAGTATTATCAAGTAACGTTATAATACTTGTTTTAAAAGCTAGAATTCAGTTAAATTATTGCAAGTAGGATTAAACAAACTAGTTATAGGTTCTGGTAAACAACTTGTCTCATCTTCTGAACCTGACTCAGTATCACTTGATTTCTGATTGCTATTACAATCTAAGCTAGTAAATATAACAGCTTTAGGATTGGATTGACGTAAATTGTTAAAGTCGCTTACTAATATGCAATGTGATGGATCAATATACAAGTAGTTTCCATTTACTTTAAACATGGTTGATGCACTTATGCTTTTTATTTTTTTTTATAAACAAGATTACTAAATGAGGAAAACTCTCCCCTTTTTTTACTTGTGCTAAAATTCATTGCACTTAATGGTGTTGCATTGACACTGCGCTTTGAGCCATTCCATAAACAAACCCATAGTTCATACATGCAACTCTTTATGCTAACTCTCTGGCTATAATAAAGATCTATTGCCAGTAAAATAAGAAAATATTGATCGTGAACAAAAATCGTCTAATGTTACTTATATCCTAATATTATTAGCCTAATAATAACTGATTTGTATGCTCCTAATAATTAGGAGCATACAAATCAGTTTAGAAATCAATGTCTATAATATATAACCTTAGTTTTTATAAAACAATAATCTTCATTGATACTTGGAGCATACAAACAATCTTGCACGTGGCCACACAAAATATATGTTTTATATGCTTCCAATGACTTGTATGCCTATACAAGTCATACAAGTTATTGGAAGCATATAAAACATATATTTTGTGTGGCCACGTGCAAGATTGTTTGTATGCTCCAAGTATCAATGAAGATTATTGTTTTATAAAAACTAAGGTTATATATTATAGACATTGATTTCTAAACTGATTTGTATGTTCCTAGTTATTAGGAGCATAGTATTTTCTTTTGTAAAATCACTAGGAGTGTCAATGAGAAAACTTGTCACGTCTCTCCAAGTAATGTCAGGCGACTTTGTAATGTCTTTCTGCCAAACACTTTCATTAAAACTTTCCGGATTTAGTTCAACCACGCTAACAATATTTATTATTTATTAAATGATAAATATGATTTTAATATTTTAAATGATGTGCTTATAAGTAATGTTGACAATGGTTAAAACAATATTTAAAATTGTTTTGCTTGCCAGTATGCGCACGCATATTGTTTACATTTGGCTTCATACGTCACATGAAATTGGTCTATTAGACGGCGAGTTTCGACTAAAATGATACTTTTAATATTGTTGGTATGCATCCATTATTTAGTTTCAATCAAAAAATTTAGCCCAAATATTTTTTTAAACATTTTCTTTAACATGAACACAACTTGTCTTGGCAGTTGGGGATCCCTTTAATGATTTTGGTCTTCATATTGTACCCAGAAATCACAAACTTCTTGCCAAACCCAGCATTATCCGAAATTTTTTTAATCCTAGTTACCAAGCAAGAATTATCAGGATCTGTACAAATATTATTTTTACAAACAAGATCCTTGGATTTCGATTTCAATTTGAAACCAACATTAGTAAAAGTGGGTTTGTATTTACCTGTGACTCGCAAAGGATTAATTGATAGTATCTTAGAATATCACCATTAGATGGAAGCTGTCTCAGAGGTAAATCCCTCAGTGGGTACTTCAATAGGTAAATATACCTCAACCTTTCTGTATTTTTTCATTTTTTCTTATTCTGTCTCATCATCTTCTATTTTTAAGCTGTTCTACTGATTTGTATATGAATTTCAAAATAATCAGTTTTTTAAATAAATTTATACTAAATTTTACACTTGCATCCAAAATCCATGAAGTCATTATTCCCTCTCATATTTTATTTAAGTTTACCATTATGGCGTTTATTACTATTTACATAAGAATTTCTTCTAGCACAATTTAGAGTTCCTTTGTGCACAAATAATTCCATTTAGAAATTTTTTCCTTCGAAAAAAATTTTTAAATGGATTAATTTGTAAACTAATCCATGGGGAATTATACCAACTAATAATATTGTCCGGAGGGAATTATATCAATTGCTACAATGTTCATAGAGAATGATGCTAATCTTTAATAATGTCCTATGGTAATTATTTGTGGACCAGTTATTATATCATATTAAAACATATTGAAATACTAGATAGCGCTGTTTTTATGTATATACACATATGTGTACAAAACCGTAAAACTCAGAATTTACATTTATCACTTCTATTAATTAAAGTATTAAAAAAAAGATTTTGGTAGCTATTTAGGACCTATAGAATAGGGATTAGTTGAGAGCACATTGAAATTTAAAAAATAGTGTGTTTTTAGAACTACCTAACAAATACTTATACAATTAATTTTTTTAATGTTAAAGAGATGGGTCTATAAGCAATTTCTATATTACTGGAAGTGATCTTGTTATTGTTATTTTTGTCTATTAGATGGTGGTACTTATTAGGAATATTAATTTTATTAATAACATAATTATAAAACTTGCTTATGTGATTTCCCTGTATTAGGTTTAATTCAATTTTCAATTTGTAATTAGATAAGATTTGTTTGCAATTCCTGGCGTACTGTTTGTAAACTGATTTGTTATAAATGGTTTTAATATTCATCCATTTTTTCCATAAAAACGCTTTTCGACATAAGATTTTACGTAATTTGGATAGTGATTACTCATTTTTTTATAATTTTTTTCTGTAAGTTACAAATTCATTGATACCAGAACCAAAAAGGGCTAGGAAAAATGCTGCAGTAGTCCTTAAATGTATAGGCTTAAAAAACTCGAAATTCTGATTTATTTTTGATAAATATAACTCATAAAACATCACCATAAGAAAAGTCATAGAAAGATTCTGATTTATTTTCACACTGGTTGAAATCATTTGTATTTATAGAAAATTGGACTGTGTTACCGTCGCTAGTGCTAAAAAGACACTTGACAGATATATCACTTATAAGAGAAATGCTATTAGAAGATACAACATCAAAAAAATTCATTTTGAAAAAGCCCACATGAAAAAATTCATGTGGGTTCTTTAACAAATTGGTGCAAACCAAGTTCGTTTACTAAATTTAAGAATATACTATGACACTTTTCATTTGGTGAAACATAGATTGCCCAATCCATTTTATGTAAGTTGAAGGCGCCAACAATAATAATCTGAGACACCGAATAGCACAAATTATAAATAACTGAAATCCTAAACTCAAGATAAGCAACATCTATTATTGTATAAAAAGCTGGACGATAGCAAGTAATTAGACAGAGTTTCTGAGATCAAAAAATCAGATCAACAATTGATGATATCAATATCAGTATCTATTTGCTTAATCTGTACTTGTTCTACATTAAATTCACTAATGTTCTACATTAAATTGACTCTTCTGCCAATTTTATACGGTCTTTGTGATAAAACGATCTATTTGAGCGAGGTGTTCGAAAGAGGTTAATGCAAAATCTGTCATATCCTAACTGGAGGCCTAACAAGGTCAATTTTATCTAAAAAGATGACAACTCCTTAAATGTCCCAGAATGAGGCCTAGGTTTATGCAAAGAATTGACAGGCAAAAAGTTTTAGATCATCTGCACAAAAAGAACGAAAAATGCTTCAATAAGGTCAACATGGTCAGTGTAAAATGCTTTGCCTAACAGGTTCCAGCTCTTGTTGATTCTGTTTGACATCATATAGAAGATCAATATGTTGATTCTGTTTGACATCATAGTATAATAGAAGAGCAATAAAACTTTTTACAATAAAGAATGTGATGCTCTAATCAAATGTTTTTAGTTTTTTGAAAAATATTGAAAAAGGTAGTAACATTTCTTTAAACATTGTCTCATATTAAACTTGACACCCGTTAGGGATGAGTAGTCCAAAACAAAACTCTTAAAGCAAAAGCGTTTTATTTAAATAAATGTAAATAAATGGTAACCCTAAAACATGAGTTTGCAATTTAAAGTCAATGAATTTTGTATAATAACAAAATTTAGTAAGTTCATAAAGTATTTAATTCATACATGAGTAATATTGTCTTTAGTAATTCCTCCAGTTCTATGAATATCATACATTTGAAACGCGTCTAAAATTTATTAAAAAAAAGGATAAATTACAAATGCGATACAAAACAAAAAAAAGAGACTTTGAAAAAAGACAAAAGGAATCTTAAAAAAAATTTCTAAATTTCAATTCTAAAAAATTTTAAAATGCTTCCATAAAAGTACTTTAAACATTTTAAGTTGTTTTCATTACAACTCATTAAACAAACTTTTTTTAAAGAATAATGATAGGAAAAACAGTAAAACATTAAAATTTCAAATGTCTTTTTTTATATAAATTAACAAATAGTAACTTGTAGAATATTATACACTTTTGTTTTGTATCATTAAATTATATATTTTATATATTAAAGATACACACAAAAAAGAAAAAAAATATGTGTAAAAACATAAAAAAAAAGTAATAAAATCAAATGAATCAAATAAAAATATGTTATGACAGTAATATATAATGACTTATTATAATACTTACACTTAATATATCAGTAATATATTAATTATGACACTTATTTTCCTCCTTTTCACTTTTTTATAAAAATAATGGAGCACTTTCTTCTGATGCACCAAAACATTAGTGTCTCTTGAAATGGTTTTAATTTTGCTGTAGCTTAAAACAGAGTGGTCACAGGTCCTTAAAGTAACATATTCACAATATTTAGTGAATGTATCACAAATGTTGGCCAGCTGTGCAACATCATCAGATTTCAATTAAATCACTTTTCTATTGTGATAAAAACTTTTCTGATTTCTCTCATAGTTCAAAACATAGGGAAATAATTTTTTTTTTTTTTTTTGACAGCTGGCAACATTTGCAAAAAATAGTAGTTTATTAAGTTTAGTCTCATTTTTCAAACAAATCTGATTTTAATTGTAGATTTGAAGAGAGATACTTGCTTTGTTTTTTAAACAGCTTCATTTGAAATCATCAGCTTAACAATGATATCAACAATTGGAGAAAAAGCTTTTTCCTGATTTTATAGAGTTTCTTTATTTTTGCAATAATTTTAGCAACCTTATGAGGTTATCCTCATAAGGTTGCTATGAACCTTATGATGCTGTGACTGCAGCTTTGACTGCAGCTATGAACCTTATGATGTTGTAACTGCAGCTTTAATTTTTTTTTTTTTTTTTAATTGCTAGAGTTATAAAGCATTTCTCAAAATATTTTATTAAAAACTACTATGTCTTATCAATAGTGATTTAAATTAAAATACACCTAAACCAAAGCTGTCCAGGACTTTGAAGCTGCTCTGGTGCTAGAGCCAGAGCTATCAGGAGCTGGTGATTTTACATGGAGCTGAGCCAAAGCTGAAATATTTCTGAGATAAGCTGCCTTCGGGGCCAGCTCAATTATCTAATTTTTCGAAATATTAAATTATGAGTATTTTTTCTTATAGAGATTGTTAAGTACTATTTAATATAATAAAGTTATTATATTATATAAAAAGATGTTTTTCTTTTAAATTAAATAATTATGGTCATTAAAAATGTTATTAAAATACTTATGATTTCTAAATATAGCTTTTTGTCATATGCTTCATAAATATTTATTTGATTTTGATATTATATATTGAGATTTACTGTTTCTTTAATTAATATTAGATTAAAAATTATAGTTGAGCTGATAAAGTTGTTTTTACTTACTTTCAAAAAAACGTTAGCGTATTTTTAGAAAATAATTTTGATCAAATTATTTTGCGCAAAATATTATTTAGTTCACATTGCTGAATATGTAAACTACTTTAATACAATACTTTTATCCAATGTCATTGAATGATCAAGGGAAATTTACTTTCATGTATTAAGTCACATGATTTGTTTTAACTTTTTTAATTAGTTAAAACAATTTTTAAACTGTTTTAAACACGTGAGTTTAGTTCTATATAAAGTGAAAAAAGTATATATAAAGTGTTTTTTCTGAGATCTAGTTTTTATTATACTTTATTGATATTATTTTTATTTATTTATTTTATTTTTTGTTTTTATTTTTATTAAAAACATAAAAGCTTTTTTAATTGAATGTTTATTAGTAGTATTTATGTTTGTGTGAGTTGTCCATAAAGTTATGTGTCGAATTTAATTAGTTAATCTAAATTAGACTATAAACAATCAATGAAAAATAAACATTTTAAACTAAACTTTAAAAGATATAAACAAAAACAATGCACCAGTTTCACTTAAAAAAAAAATTTTTTGTAGTAAGATGATTCCATGAGTTATTTAAAAAATTTTCATGTAAGTGTGTTAATTAAAAAAGCAATAGTTTTTATCTGAGTATGTTATTTAAAAAACAACAGTTTTTATGTGAGCATGTTATTTAAAAAGCAATAGTTTTCATGTGAGTTTCTTCTTATTCAAATAAATTATATACAAGGGCTAGTTATTGTTTTTAGTCAAAATATCTTCAACCTCAAGCAATCCTAAGAAGGTTCTAAAAAATTTTCAATTAATTAAAGTACAAAACTGGCAACATAAAAGATTACAGAATAGATAAATGATAGAGAAATTCCATGTGATATACAAAAAGAATCTAAAGTTTACAATATGAAACAGCATTTGGAAAGTTCACATCTATTAGAATATAAAACATTTAAATCCGACAATTTGAATAATGAATTTGCTGGAAAAAAAAAGTTGAATTAAAGAAAAGATTGTTACAGAAATTTATATGAAAATGAATGCAGCCACTTAGCAACAAAATTAATGAAAAAATATTCACTATTAATATTAATATATCAAGTTAAACCTTTGGCACAGAAAGATAACACAACTCAGATGCTGTTAAAAAAAAAGTGAAAGAGACTCTTTATAGATTTAGTTCAGCAAAGATCTAATAACATGTGCAAGTGTAGACAATGAGGCCAACACAATTAGAGCAATCATACTTTTAAATGATTATTTAGGTGATACAAATTTTCTAGATAAAGCATTACAGGATAAAGAACAAGAAGAGTATTATGACAGGATAAAAACAAGGAAGAAAGAAAGTTTGGGAAGAAAATCTAATCTTCTTTTCCCAAAATGGTATTAACAATTATCTACCGACATTGAGCTGATACACTACGTTATTCATAATTTGCAGCTAGCTAATTGCAATGCTGTAAAAAAAAACATCTAAATTTTGGCAAAGACTCGTTATGTTGTAAAGAAACTAAAAAATTTGCATACAATATGTTTAGCAAAGAAGCAATACAAGATTGTTCCAACTTTATATTATGAAATACACCAGAGTTCTACATTCGAATATTTGAAAAATAATTAATTTTCTATCTACTGTGTTAGCAATTTGCTGCAGTTGATTATATATTCTTTCTATGCCCTGAATCATTGATTCAGGGCATAGAAAAAATAATTGATCAAAAGAGAAAATAATTGATCAATTGAGAAAATAATCAATTGTGATCTTTTAGAAAAGTCGATGTGACAGTTAAACTTCAAAGAAACGACCTCTCTCCAGAAGAGTTTTAAAAGAAACGACTTCTTTCCAGAAGAGTTCTAAAAGAAACGACTTCTCTCCAGAGAGGTCGTTTCTTTTAGAACTTCTAAAAGGATTGATTGAAATTGAAAATTTACCTAGAGAAGAATCAGGGACTAACTGCAAAAGACATCACAAAATAAATGCAGAAACGAGAAGAAAAAATGTACAATATTAATATATTTCTAGCCTCAGTTTACGATACGAAATACTGTTAGAAGAGAATCAGATAATATGAGCAACACAAAGTACAAAAATATTATCAAAGAGACAAAAAGTCATAAAAATAAGATACAGCTTAATCTTCTACAGGACTTCTATCAGTTTTAAGTCTATTTCTAATGGACTTCTATCAGTTTTAAATCTATTTCTACAGGACTTCTATCAGTTTTAAGTCTATTTCTAATGGACTTCTATCAGTTTTAAATCTATTTCTACAGGACTTCTATCAGTTTTAAGTCTATTTTTAATGGACTTCTATCAGTTTTAAATCTATTTCTAATGGAGAAGAGGGTGAAATTGAAAAAGATAAAAAAAAAACAAGAAGTGTGACCCAAATTAATTTTAGAGATAAAAATACTTTTAAATACAAATTTCATGAATGACTGTAAAGTAATGGAGCAAACGGAACATTAAAAGTGAAATCAGCTTTTGAGGGAAAAAAAAACAAATTGCCCAAAATGGATTTTATGGGCATAAATTAAATGGACATTAGTATTTTAAAATAAAATGGGCATTACTATATTAAAATTAAATGGGCATTAGTATATTAAAATTAAATAGGCATTAGTATATTAAAATAAAATGGGCATTAGTATATTATAATAAAACGGGCATTAGTAAATTAAAATAAAACGGGCATTAGTATATTAAAATTAAATGGACATTAGTATATTAAAATTAAATGGGCATTAGTATATTAAAATTAAATGGGCATTACTATATTAAAATTAAATGGACATTAGTATATTAAAATTAAATAGGCATTAGTATATTAAAATTAAATGGGCATTAGTATAAAAAATATAAATCTGTGTAATATATCACGGTTTGTAAATTTGGGACCCTAATATCAATGAAATACCCTATGAAAACCATTTTAAGGGGGGATAGTACATGCCAATGGGAGTCTATATTGAGTTGTTTTGAAATCGGGGATTAACATCAAAAAGAATTATTTGATCATGAAGGTTTTTTAAAAGGGTTGATTTATGAGCCAAATTAAGCTGCCTATTAATGGTACTAAACTTGCTCCCTTAATTTTTTTTATAAAATAAAGATTGTAGCCCATGAAACGTAAAATGTTTATTATTTTATTCTTTTTTTTTGAAATAATTATTTATTGAGCATTTTGATCAGTGCAAGCGTAAAATCGAACTTTCGAAACTAACGAAAAGAGTAAACAAATATATTCTGGGAAAAGGCAGTACACTTTAAGTTTTTGAAGGAAAACATATTTTTTTGTGAACAAATATTTAAGAATTTAAAGATGCCTACATTTGCCAAAAACCATGAAGAATGTAGAAAATCTGTTTGTGTTATCTGTAT